AAACTCACGAGACAAAAAAATTACTGATAAAAAAGGGTGACAACCTTTTATATCTAATGTCCGTTACATAAAGAAAAATTGTTCTCAATTCCCGACCCGCTCTGTGGACTATGGCACCAAGCTTCTATCACACAACCTAAAGATTTCGAATTGCCTACTCTTTAGAATTGTGTATGTCGGAGTGTGGTTTAGTTCGACACTGGGGCTAATTTCTATCGATCATTCGCAGTTGATTCTTCTCTTCGACTTGAGTTGTATTTCTTCTTCTTCGTCGACTAAGATAGAACTTCTCTTGTCTTCGACTTGGCTGCAACTTCTCTTGTCTTCGACTTGGCTGCAACTTCTCTTGTCTTCGACTTGGCTGCAACTTCTCTTGTCTTCGACTTGGCTGCAACTTCTCTTGTCTTCGACTTGGCTGCAACTTCTCTTGTCTTCGACTTGGCTGCAACTTCTCTTGTCTTCGACTTGGCTGCAACTTCTCTTGTCTTCGACTTGGCTGCAACTTCTCTGCGGCTTTCGAGTAATCTTCTTCTTCGTCTGCTTGGGCTGGAAGTTCTCTTGTCTTCGACTTGGGCTGGAAGGATTTCTTGCCGCAACTAGGCCGCAACTCTCTGTCGTCCGAGGTGATCTCTTCTCGCTGCCGTCCGGGGCTGAACTCTTCTGTCTTCGACTTGGGCTGGAAGGATTTCTTGTCTGAGGATTCTTTTGCCCGCAAAGGGGCGAGTGAATCGGGCCCGATGCCCGCGTTCAGGCTCTTTCCCTGCCCGCGGTCCAGCTGCAACTCCACTCCAACTGATTTCTGTCGACTGGGGTCCTGCTTTTATTGACGCCGCAACAAACTGGGGTGGGTCTGTCGGCGTCAGGGTTTTCTCGATAATTCCAAAAGTCGCATTATTTCTGTCTTCTCATTATCGCTATTGTTTTCACCCCTACTTCCTCACAGTGCCCTTGGTGGGGAGGCGCACACCCATCTTTCCCGGTCCCTCGTATGTCAGGTGACCGCTCTCGACCAATGATTCCTGATCGAGCACTTCTTTCTCTTCCTTTCCGCAGATCACGTGACCGTTTCCGACCAATTGTTATTGATCGAGCATCCTTTCTCCTATTTTCGGGCGTGGTTAAATCGTTCTTGTTTTTAAAAAAAAAAAAAAATCTAATTTGGCCTTTTTTCGCACGTACGAAAAATGATAATCTTGGCTTTTTCTCACCTGGGCTCTGTCAAAACAGCCCGCCGCTAATTAGATGTGACTTCAAGGAAGAATATTGGCGCCATCTGTGAGCTGAGACAATCGTTTTTTCACCTCTTGTTTTTTGTCAGACCCGACAGTCAGAAAATCTTAATTATCTACATTGAAAATGTCCCCACTTTGTTATCATGGGTTTCCAATTCTTAATAGGTCAGAATCTGTATATAGTTCCACCGGTCACTCCCTCAACCCAAAAGACACTTTTTCTCCGATTAAAAAAATTTCGTTTCTATTGTTCTAAAATTTCCCTTTCTCCAGATTAAGATTTCGTTCCCATTGTTCTAAAATTTCCCTTTACTCCAAATTGATAATGAGTCTTTCTACGCAAAAAGTCGGTCATGCGCTTCGACCGACATTCTTATCAAAATGACTTTCCTTCTAAATAATATTTCTTTTCATTGTCTCTCGAAAATCGGCCAAGATGTTGACCTAAATACCTTTCTGATACGTGTTTTTGTTAATGACCGCTTTTGCATTTCTTGACCTCTCTTTCCTTCTTTCTATCTTCCCTTCTTTCCTTTTCTCTTCTTTCCTCTTCTCCCCTTAGGATCGTCTAAGTACAATCTTAGTGAATTATTTTCAACTCAATTATTTTCCGTTTAAAAAAAAAAATCAACAACCTGTTTAGTAAACCGAGTAAAAAAAAAATTAAATCATATTTCTATGAATATTTCTAATAATGCAAGGTGCCACACTCTAACAAGACCACAACAGTAGAGGAAAATGTTTTTCAATCATCCTCATGTAAATTGTATTTTTTTTAATTAAGTAATTGGTGCTTTAATAGATTCCCTGTGAATATGCGGTATATATTAGTTCAGGTGGAGAAGGGTGGGTTCTTTTGATGATTGAGGTAATTGTTAGAGTTAATGGGTCGCGGGTCAGATCAGCTAGGTGTAGGATAGACAGTGTCAACCAGCCTCAACCCACTCTCCCTTGTGCCAAAATAACACTTAAAATTTTATGAATAAATAAATTTATTTTAAATTTATAAATAAATAAATATTCCCATGCCAATTGAAATCAACAAATTTCAAGGACGATCTTTCAAATTTTAATCATAAAATTGCTTTCGGCAATAAATTTGTATGTTGTGTATTGGAATTGTCAGGTTTCAAATATGGCCCGGATTAAAATACAAAATAATTCTATCCTTCCAATCATATCCATAATTTCTGTATAGAAAATAGAGTGTTGAAAGGTTTTCCACCCGATCCGTAACTGTTTGTCGCCTTTTCCAATATTTCCGTTTTAATTTGAATTGGTGTGGGATATCAACATCTTGATATGGATTGATAAAGATATCACACGTTGATCCCAACCCGAAGACCAGGTAAAAGAGCACGGATACCATTTGTTTAATGTAGGGTGCCCAAGCGTGTGCACAGTGGGCAAGGTCCAAAACTGTCCCCGCAACCAACGTCGCGCTGGCGTTGATATTCAGTTGACCCTTCCTCTTTGGCGAAACAAGGGAAGTGCTGTCGCAAGGTTGGAGTCCCTGGAATCAGGTATCTCTCATTCATTTGCAGTGTTCTGCCTGAAGACAGAAAAACAATTGAGAGATAAAATGTAGTTTGTCCGCCCCAAAACAGATTGTATTTACTTGGCCGCTCCACGCTGGCAAGGTGCGATACAAGGTCAGTTTAATGTGCGTAAATCCGAGCGCGTGCACCCGGGCTAGGTCAGTCGGTTGCACTGGCATCGGTTTACACCATTTTTGGGCAATGAGGGCGGTACTGCCTCGGGTAACTGTACCTCGGGACTGGACATCTCTCAATATTTTCAGTTGCACACTGCCCGAAGACAAAGACACAACTGAGTTGCGTTCTTTCCAATGACAGGAACAAAACTGAGCGATAAAATGTTTTGTTCACTCGAAGGCAGATACCACACTTTGATCCAACCAGAGAGAGAGAAAAGCTTAACGGTTATGCATACGAACTTTTCAATAAATATTTTCATGGCAAGCCGTGATTTTTACCATTGAAATTTCTAAACTTAACCGTAAGTTCTATGATAATAGCTTGTCTCGCTAGATCAGTTATGACGGAGTACAGAGTTCGATCCTCAGTGGCTGCACCAAAAATTTGGCCTTGTGCCACATCTAAACCGCGCTTACAAAAACAAGGCACTTTGACGTGGTGTAATGGTTAGCAAATTTGTCTCACTAGATCCACTGAGTAGTGAGTTCAAACCTCAATGGGTGCCCCATAATCTCGTCCTTGTGCCACATCTAAGCAACGCTTAGAAAATCATTATATAAATACGCAGTCATGTTTGCTCAGTTTCTTTCGGTCTGTTGTTTTTCATTATCAGTAATCGCTTCTATGTTAGCGGCTTTATCGCCTTACTTGGAGTGAAATGATAAAACCATATATTATTAGGAATAAAGAGTTGATCAGTTTATATATATATATATATATATATATATATATATATATATATATATATATATATATATATATATATATATATATATATATATATAATATTATATATATATATATAATATAATATATATATATATATATATATATATATATATATATATATATATATATATATATATATATATATATATATATATATATATATATATATATATATATATATATATATATATATATATATATATATATATATATATATATATATATATATATTATATATACAGTTTATTTAGACTTATAGCATTAATGATTATTGTTAATATTTTAATTTCAATAAATCATTGTTATTAGTTTTCTAAAATTTTCTTTCGAAAGAAGAGAAGAAAAATAAGACGTTTGTAAATGAAAACTTGAGTCTGGACGAAAAATCAATTAGATTTTAAGTAGGGAAATGTTCTATTTATATATTCATCCAACCACCAATACTTAATCGAACGTTTTCCTGACCGCTTCAAGTTTTACAAGCAAATGATTTCCGAGTTCAGTAAATGAATAAATGGCCGAAAGGAGGCAACGTGTCAGGGAAATTGATTTTGAGTAATGACCGATTCCTTCAAGGTGCTTATTTAGGGTGGTGTAGGAGAAAGTTCCGGTTAATAGGGAGCCCCTTCCCAGATCTTTCAGATGGTCGACGTGTCTGATAAGACAAACATTGCTTGCAGTGTTGCACAGATCAGCGCGCTAATTCAGCTGTTGATTTTCATTTGGGCTAGTTCTATAACACAACATACTTTTATATGCATATATATATATATATATATATATATATATATATATATATTACACACAGCTTAGCGCAGTACAAGACAAGAATGCGTGTGTGTGAGAGAGAGACTGTTTAATATCCTATTATAATTGTGTTTGCTCTCCTCCTTCGTTAGTTCGCACTACCGTTACGCCTTGCCAATACCTCATAAATAATGGGCTATTCCGTATTGATCGCGTGGAAAGAGGAGAAAAAGAGTACTTAGTTTCAGTGAGAAAATGAAAGAAAATGAAGGGAAGATCGAAGGGGAGAAAGAGAAGTAAATTCAGCTGGTAAGAACAGATACTACACTTTGATTTTAGCTTATAGGCCGAGAAGCGACTGTGTTTCCTTAACGCCCCACGCACGCAGGATGTGACACAAGGTCATTTTAATGTGGGGGTTCCCGAGCGCGTGCACCCGGGCCAGGTCCCAAAATATGCCATCCCCAGCAACCGCCGGCATCGTAATTACTATCAACCTTCCTCTCTTTAGTGCAATGAAGGAGGTATTGCCGCGGGTAGCTGTTTTCCGACATCGGGCAACTCAGTAATATTTTCAGTAGCGCTCTGTCGGCAGAGAGACATACAAGTGAGCTGCGGAGAGAGAGAGAGAGAGACAGACAGACAGACAGACAGACAGACAGAGACAACTGAGTTGCGCTGAGAGAGAGAGAGAGACACAATTGAGTTGCGCTGAGAGAGAGAGAGAGACACACAATTGAGTTGCGCTGAGAGAGAGAGAGAGAGAGAGACACAATTGAGTTGCGCTGAGAGAGAGAGACACAATTGAGTTGCGCTGAGAGAGAGAGACACAATTGAGTTGCGCTGAGAGAGAGAGACACAATTGAGTTGCGCTGAGAGAGAGAGACAAACCAGTTGGCTGAGAGAGAGAGAGAGAGACAATGAGACAATTGAGTTGCGCTGAGAGAGAGAGACAATTGAGTTGGTGCTGAGAGAGAGAGACAATTGAGTTGCGCTGAGAGAGAGAGACAATTGAGTTGCGCTGAGAGAGAGAGACAATTGAGTTGGGTGCTGAGAGAGAGAGACAATTGAGTTGCGCTGAGAGAGAGAGACAATTGAGTTGCGCTGAGAGAGAGACAATTGAGTTGAGAGAGCTTGAGAGAGAGAGAGAGACAATTGAGTTGCGCTGAGAGAGAGAGAGACAATTGAGTTGCGCTGAGAGAGAGAGAGAGACAATTGAGTTGCGCTGAGAGAGAGAGAGACAATTGAGTTGCGCTGAGAGAGAGAGACAATTGAGTTGCGCTGAGAGAGAGAGAGACAATTGAGTTGCGCTGAGAGAGAGAGAGAGAGACAATTGAGTTGCGCTGAGAGAGAGAGAGAGAATTGAGTTGCGCTGAGAGAGAGACAATTGAGTTGCGCTGAGAGAGAGAGACAATTGAGTTGCGCTGAGAGAGAGAGACAATTGAGTTGCGCTGAGAGAGAGAGACAATTGAGTTGCGCTGAGAGAGAGAGACAATTGAGTTGCGCTGAGAGAGAGAGACAATTGAGTTGCGCTGAGAGAGAGAGACAATTGAGTTGCGCTGAGAGAGAGACAATTGAGTTGCGCTGAGAGAGAGACAATTGAGTTGCGCTGAGAGAGAGAGACAATTGAGTTGGGTGCTGAGAGAGAGACAATTGAGTTGCGCTGAGAGAGAGAGACAATTGAGTTGCGCTGAGAGAGAGAGACAATTGAGTTGCGCTGAGAGAGAGAGACAATTGAGTTGCGCTGAGAGAGAGAGACAATTGAGTTGCGCTGAGAGAGAGAGAGACAATTGAGTTGCGCTGAGAGAGAGAGAGAGACAATTGAGTTGCGCTGAGAGAGAGAGAGAGAGACAAATTGAGTTGCACTGAGAGAGAGAGAGAGAGAGACAATTGAGTTGCACTGAGAGAGAGAGAGAGAGAGACAATTGAGTTGCACTGAGAGAGAGAGAGACAAGTGAGTTGCGCTGAGAGAGAGAGAGAGAGACAATTGAGTTGCGCTGAGAGAGAGAGAGACAATTGAGTTGCGCTGAGAGAGAGAGAGAGACAATTGAGTTGCGCTGCTGAGAGAGAGAGAGACAACTGAGTTGCGCTGAGAGAGAGAGAGAGAGAGACAACTGAGTTGCGCTGAGAGAGAGAGGGACAACTGAAAGATGAAATGTAATTTATTCTACCGAGGGCAGATACTACACTTTGATCCTAGCCAAAAGGCTGGGAATAAATGGTGACCCCGATATACGCTCCATTTTTCAGTCACTCAGTATCGAACGACGGAAACCGAGTAAGGCAATCGCCAAAAATTCAGTCACCATGAATAAAATAACATCTTCTACTGGATTATTTTCAAATCATTAAGAGAAATGTTCGTAAAACGGGGATTTGGTTGGTATGTATAAATAAATGAGTGCACATTAATTTAGTGCTGCGTCCCTCTAGAAACATAGAAAGTTGTCGTGCACAACGATCGCCTATCTCCCGAGGCTTTTAACAGCTTTTCTCCCTATGATAAGGCTTCCCACCCCCATTATGCCATCCATTCACAGAAGCTCGGTAGCTGTGTGGCTTGCTGCCTTATCACTTTTGCTCTGAATATTCCCGACCTCGAAGAAGAAGTTTTCCAAGCAGTCCGTCTTCATTATGTGTTCAATGAATTTCACTTGTTGTTTTTCTGTTTCTGAGTAAAAATGTTCTTTCTGCTACCATTTTCTTCAAGATTTCCTCATTGCTTATTCGCACAGTCTTTGAAATTCTCAGTATGCATCTGTAGAACCATATTTCTGATGGTCACCAGTTTTCTCCTCGTCAATGGTGAGATTGTAAAGCATTCACTGCCACATAAAAAGATGGATATCGTATAACAGTTCAGCACTCTCACATGCGCATTCATAGACAGACATACAAACCTAAACATGTAGCATATTTTTTTTGTAAATTTGCATAAGATTAAAATGTGCGTGTCCCCAATAGAAAGAAACAACCCGAGGCAATCATTTTACATATAAAATATATATTACTCATAATATTTTACATATAAAATATATATTACTCAAAAAATGGGTTTACAAGATAGGCGATAACAGTTAACTTGCATAACAATTTTTAAAATTTCAAAAAACCATATTTAAAAAAATATTTCACCCGTGTTATTCATTTTAGGTCAACTTCTAAAAATTAACAAGGTTTCAAGGCCTCAAGAATTCTGAACCGTCGATATGCCTCCCACACCCAAGTTTGCGACCGGCTAAGTTCATCCGCCGAGGGACGCTAAACCAACGTGCGACATGCGCTTCTGTCACCTTAATACTACTAATACCTCTCATAATTCAAGCTGTCAGGGTTAATAAAACGAATACCAAAAGTAAATGACCCTTTTCGTCGATACCGTTTTATGTAGTAGGTGGGAAAATCCTGAAACGACACAGGGCAACACGATTCCTTTAAGAGCGTTTAGTTCACGGAGGGGTCCTGCCATGTAATTCCCCTCGGTGGCATTGCCATCTCCTCTGAATGGCGGCAAGAGTTGAAATGGCTAGATGTTACCGTAAGTTCTATGCTAATAGTTTCTTCTCTTGCATTTCTCGCTTCACAGTCAACTTTGATGTTCAAAAATTTAAATGCAAAAAATCTAACACTCACTAGGCATACTGAACACAAGAGAAATGGGGTTGAGGACAGCAAATATACTACCTTACGTGTCTTCGAGAATGGACAGAAGAATTCGAACCAAGAAGAATGGTTAAAGTTACTTAGAGCAACAAAAGACAGATACTTGGGAGCCCTGATTGCCCACAGCATAAAAGAACACTGCCCATAAAAGAATTTATTAAAACGATATGTAAAACTATTATTATTATTATTGTTTCCTTTGATTTCTGGTGTGTACATATTTTTTCAGGGTCCCACCCAGAGATCTAAGGTTCGAAATGGCATCATGACATTTTCCACTGACCAAAAAAAAAAAAAAAAAAAAATACATAGATAAGGCCCTTCGTAAGGTGTGGGCTGTACTCGTGAGAACAATGTTTTTTGTATTTCTTTAAGGCATGGGCTTCCAGGAATCCCTTCAATGAGACTATTGGAATCTTTTCCAACCAATCCGAGGGCCCCAACTACAACAGCGATTATTGATGTTCCCATGTGCCACATTTTTGAGATTTTGATTTCAAGGTCCTTGTATTTTAACAGCTTTTTGAAGATCCTGAAAGATGCATTGCAGTCTGCAGGGACTGTCACATCAATAAGGAGGTACTTTTTTTTGTTTTGTTTGCGGTCTCTAATAACAATGTCTGTGCGGTTAGCTTTGATTGTTCTGTGTATATTGTGTAGTCCCATAAAATGCAACAGGTCCTATCTCCGTAACCGGGTCTGGGTGGTGTTCATACCATTTTCTTTCAGTTTCCTTCCTGTAGAATTTACAGGTCTTCCAGTGAAGATATTGGCCCACTATCATGCCGTGTTTTAAATTCAGTGGGTGCCTATTATTATTATTCTTATTATTAACCGTTATTAAATTAACAGACATTTATTTCAGTGAATAATAATACCTATATTTGATTTAATATCTTTCCTTGGTCAAAATATTTTCCCTTAGATTTGAAATTTCGCCACTGGGAGAAAAATGCCTGCAATTTGAGAATCAGAGCCGTAAAATTATCAGAAAAATTCCAAACTGAACGACAGAAAATAGTTTTTGAAACATTTCCGGTTGAAAACCAAATAAGTATATTTTAAGTCCATGAACAACGCCGTTTCCCGGACAGTGGTAGGCAAGGAACTCTTAATCCAGATAAATTTCGAACTTGAAATTGCTCTGACCTTACTTCACTGAATGGTCACAACGTGGCGTTGTGTGTAACGTCATTTCTTAATTGTCTACACTGCAGGTATTTTAACTGTTTCATCGATTTTGTCAAATTATAGACCTTGTCATGACTTTTAGGTTAACTTGCGAACAAGATCATACCGATGCAAGAAAAGGCAGAAGTGTTAGGAAAACAATTGCGATATCTCCTCACGGAATCTGATTGGAATGTATGCAAATGGGGCATCAGATGTAATTATTTACAGCACAAGGCCATGGTGAGGATTGAAGTCACTGCTCATTAGTAACTGATTTTAGAGGCTATCATACACAACGACAAGTGTTCCAAATGGTTCATTAACAGTATATAAAAAAAGGCAAAGGGATAAATTACATTAAATAAAAAATAAACACAGATACAACCCCCACCTCAAAAAACAAAAGACAAAAAAGAAAAAACAAAAGACAAAAAAGAAAAAACAAAAGACAAAAAAGAAAAAACAAAAGACAAAAAAGAAAAAACAAAAGACAAAAAAGAAAAAACAAAAGACAAAAAAAAAAAAACAAAAGACAAAAAAGAAAACATGAAAACAAGGAAAACATAAAAACAATGGAAAAAACAAAGGAAAACAGACAAAGAAAAGAAAAAGAATGAAAAAAAAAGAAACGAAAAACAAAAACATGAAAAAAATAGGAGGAAAATATAAAAAAAGAAAAGAAAAAAGAGTGGAAATATGTTTCAATTGACAAAAAGAATGGATGTTTTATCAACTGCATTAAGAATCGTTTGTAGATTTTTAGCATCTCGGCTTCAGTCACTTTGACGTAAAGTTACCTCGCTCTGACCTTTCTATAAATACTTTCATAGTAAGACGAACTTTACTCTTTGGTAACTAAACTTTATGAATTTAAGCGCAGTACAAGATTGGTAGAAAGGTGTCATTTTACAGTTGATTTGATTCATTTGTTTAACGGCATATTAACTACTTATGGGTTATTTAATGACGAAATTTAATTTTACTGCGAGATTGGAAGTAATAAAATACGATGTACAATTGAGTACATGGTAGATGATATTCAGATTTTTATTTTATTTTATTGGCATCGCAGCACAACATTCCTTGTAACTGTTGTATTGAGCGCCTTATGATTGATTGGTTTGTTTAACGGCATATCAACTTATGGGTCATTTAATGCCGAAATTTAATTTTATTGGGAGATTTGAAATAATGAAAATTATATGTTATTCTGCTTTCACAATTGAATACATGGTAGATGATGCTCAGCTTTTGTGCATATGCATGTTTGTGTAGACGGGATTACTAAAGGCACTGATATATGTTTTATGCTGTAGTTTTATTAAAGTTATAATTTGGAATACAGTTTGATTTCTTTAAGAATTGAATTATATTATATGGTATTAATATCATGAAAGAGTTCTTTCATATTGGTTGTTTGCTTTTGTTTAGCTGCATTTCAACCTCTCTGGGTTATTTAATGCAGAAATGTAAATATTTTGAACAATTTCATGGTGTCAACTAAATATATTTTGAACTGAATTGTATGCCTTCAACTATAGATAAAATGTATTGTTGGTCATTTTACTATAAATATGTATTGTTGCTAACTTTTATATAAATATGTATTGCTTGTATTTTTATAGTTTCAAAGTGCTTTGTTTTTCTTATCATTTCCCCATAGCTGGGACCCCAACAGGCGCTACCACACCGGATCAGGGTAGTCATGAGAACACTAGCAATTAACAGGTGATTTCACGCTCCTCAAAACCTTCAAATCTCCCGATCAGAGGCCTTGCTGCCGGATGTAGTTTATCGTCATACCCAGGACTAATTTTACAATTGAAATTGCTGGATGTAACTAAGTTAAAAAAAAAATCCACATTTTTTTCAACGTAGATAGATTCACTTCTCTTGGGTGATAAGTAACGGCATTCGATTCTTTCTTAATTCAGGTACTTGTAAAATCTGCTCTGCTCGCAGTGTCATGAATGTCTGAAAATAGACAAACACACGTGTGTCCGCACCTGCATGAACGTTGCGCAGTCGCAAACGTTTACAAATTAGTATTAATCGAATATTTAGCATCAACTGCTGTGTCAAAGTTCAGCCGGTGCTCATACCTGGCAGTTAATTGAAAATCTAAAACTGACTGCCGCTGAGCAACGAAAGCAAAGCGAAACCCTGGCTCCAGGTTTTCCTATAAATCTCAAAACCACTGTCAAACGGTTATTGCAGGATTTGGGGACCCTGCGTTTAGTTAACAGCCACGTCAATCCCGAGACACTGATTTGCCATTTTGCCTAGATTCTCCCCCCCACCCCCGACCAACCTCCGGATCGAAACCGCCAATTTAACTTGGCAGCCCTAAACTTCTCGTCGCTTTTGGTGTGATAAATCACCCGAGATGAGTAGATACCCGCTTCTCGGTTTTCCGAACCGCCACCATCCTGGAAACTCCGCCTGTTTTCTGTTAAAGACTTTCTTGCTATTAGCCAGCGGCTCCAATTACAGCAATCACTCAACCAATCAGCGAGTCAATCAGTCAATGTCCACTGGTAAAGTCGGAATACTTCCTGACCAGTGCAGGGAAAAATTGGTCGCGGCTCATCTAATAAAAAGTGATATCGAAGTATAGAGTTCGATCTTTGTTAGATACATTCCACTTATGCTTCTCATTTGATTAAGTTTTTACGGCTTATCAACCCTTTGCAGGTTATTTAAAGGCAGAATATATATATAATTTTAGGTTGTAAATTTTTTTTTTTTTTTGAGATAATGGTTTAGTGATACAAATCTTATTTATCATAGCTGGGAGAGACGAGGGGGAGTTATACCCAATCAGAATTTGATAAACAAGAAATTATGTGACTATAAAGAGGTGGATCAATTATATATATATATATATATATATATATATATATATATATATATAGTGTGTGTGTGTGTATATATATATATATATGTGAGAGTGTGTGTGTGTGTATATATATATATATATATATATATATATATATCTCACTTTGGGGTCACGTTAGGTTCTATACATTTATATTCCAGAGAATATGAATAAGCCTAAAAGACATGCCTGATAGCTGATATGTCTTACTAATTAATCCATAGCTGGGGAGAAGAGGAGGATTCATACCTTTTCAAGGGTATTTGCGCGTAAGTGAATATAACGAATCCAACTAGAATTGAAACTCGGCTCTCCGATTAACAATTCCGAGCCATTATCATTTAAACCACCCGCACATCCAAGCACACAGACTTGACGTTGCTTAACTTGAGTGATCAAACAGGAACTGATGTTTCAACGTGATATGGCCATAAGAAAAGGCACCTGAAGGTGGCGTGATGCTTAGCAAGATGGTTTTTGGAAACCATTTTTATTACGCAGGCCTACAAAAATGTTTATTTTTTAAAAAATCTTTTTAAAATGGTGCATGGTATGTTTTGGCTAATTTTAAAGAATTTGGGGATTATGAAACTAAAAATAACATCAATTTTAGTTTTCTTGTTCCAGAATAATATATCCTACGTAAAGAAATAGCCATGAGTAGGTTAGGTCATTATAAACGTGAAAAGAAAATTGCCCAATTAAAGCTTAAACACAATCTTAGTGTAAAACGAAACATCTGAAATACGAAAAAATATAACACAATAAGTGATTAAAACTCAAATATTGCGACCAATTGGCAATCATTGTAAGAACTTTCTATTACGTGATATCTGTCCTTCTGTATGTCAGCGAGTGCCGGACAGTCTCCTCACAAATGCTTGATTGATTGTTTATTTGTTTTACCAGTGTATCAACCCCAGCGGGTCGTTTAATGCTGAAACTGGATTTCAGCAATGTTTCAAAACGTTACAAGTGGTTGTGAGGTTTTAAAATTGTTTTCAAAATATCACTTGTATAGTTAGAGAGTATTTCAAAACGTAAATTGTATGGTTCAAAATGCATGTTCTATTTTTTTTTATAGAAGTTGGAAGTATTTTATTTTCTTCAGATATCCTATTATTGAAACAAAACAATTACAGTTGACCACTGATGACAATTCCAGAACAACGTAACAATAAACAAATTTTTTCTAACCTCTGCCAGCCGCAATGATGGAGAAAGCATTACCTCGAACCATCGCCAGTGAGACACGCTGCAAGAGCCACTCCGTTTCGCAAGGCTCGTCCCTTAATCGAGACGCAATCGCGCCAACCCTCCGAAGGAACGACATCGAACGAGGGCCAATAACCCCTGAAGTATCCACTGCCACAGGAGTAAAAAAAAAAAAAAAATCTATGAGCAAGAGAATAATATTTAACTATTTTTTTCATCTCTGCGTCCCGGGCGACGGATCCTGGCTCAACCGCGGAACTGATCAAATTACCGGCCGAAAATGTATCCGCACAGGTCACATCCCAAATCAACGACTTCCCCATTTTAAGAGGGAAAATGGTAATGCCATCCGGCCGCTTTCCATCACCGGAGGCCTACGGGTTCGATTTGGGAAGGGAACCCAGCTGCATCCAAACCTCTTTTGATGATGATGTTAATGGCAGCATGCCATGGAAAGCGGCCGGCACTATGACGACAGGAGAGAGGATGCAAACCAAACTCATCAATGGAGGCTTCACATCTGCATCCACATAATTATTTGGGGAGTAGGTACATCTTTGAAGAGTATATTAAGAATATTGTGTTTGATAATAGTTGCTACGTATTTTTTTGTGCGTCTTACATTCTAACAAGATATGTTTGACTGTGAGAAATTGATTGCAGCGGGTACACCGAAGTATAGTTTATGTCTTGAACATATGTGTGTATCTCCACAATCCTTATTCTATTGACCACTATGTCTTGTCTGCGATCAGCTAATGACTCTATATGCTCCTTTCTTACTGTCGACCGAGGTTCATATTGTTTATTGTTTGGGAACATGTCCCAAATCGCTTGCCATTTTCTGCTGATGTTGCTGTGTAATTTTGTTTTTATAATCTGTATATGCGAGTTTGATGTTGGTTATTTTCATTTTCGTTGCCTCTTTTGCAAATGTGTCGGCTTCATGATTTCCCTTGATGCCTATATGACTAGGAATCCAGGCCAATATTATTGTTTTGTGTGCTTTATGGCAAGTTTCTAGGATTTCATGAATATAGGGATGATTTGTGTTCTTTTCTTTAATTCCTGTTGAACTAGATAGGGAGTCTGAGAATAATATAAATTTCCTATCTTTTGAATTTTCTATCATTTTAAGTGCCATTTTTATGGCTTGTAATTCATTTATATAGATGGATACATTATTTGTTAGTCTTGTTTGCGAATTTGTCTGTGGTTGCTGTGCTTATTCTGTGTAGGATTTTTGATCGATATGTGTAGAATGGTTTATAGCTACGATATTTTTCTCCGTATATGTTTTTATCGATTGCATATTTTTTATGTGTCAATGTTAGGTCTATGTAAGGTTTGGAGATTGTACATAAAGCTACCTTATTTATTGTGACTTGTGTTACATTATCAACATCTTTATTTATTCTAGTGCTTTTTTGATTTGAAGACTAAATGAAGGGATAGCTGTTGTTTATTTTTAAAGTACTGGTTATATTGGGGTTCATATTTTTGGTATGCTGAGTTACTTGGGTTGGATTATAGTTTTAGTGCCTATTTGAGAGATTACTCTTCCCATCTCAGAGATAACAGCGCTTCATTGGCTTCTATATAGAGACATTGCATGGGCGAAGTCCGGAAGGCAAGGAGACTTAATC